ACCAAATCACTTAACCTCTCTGTGCCTCAACTTCCTCATCTGTAGAATGGGGATAATAATAGTACCACCCTCCCAGGGTTGTTGTGCATATCAATTGAGTTAACAATGTAAAGCACTTTGTAAACCTTAAGCAGCGCTATGCAAAGGAAGCAGGGTTGGGTATTAATATCTTCATTTTATGGGAAAAAAAATCAAAGCTCATAGAGATGAGGTGACTTGCCCAAGCTGATATGATGATGATGATGATGATGATGATGATGATGATGATGATGATAAATGGTGGAGCCAGCCCTTGAACCCAGGTGCTCATCATAGAATTTTGAATCTGGAAAGGGGACATGTGTTCTCATACCCTCCAAGATCTTTGATTCAGTTCAGTTCAATTCCATCAACATTTATGAAGTCCCTACTGTATTGTGAGCACTGTAGCCAGTTCTGGAGGGGACATACAGTTCATATAAGACCAAATCCCTGCCCTCGGGGAGCTCACAGTCTGGTAGGCGAAGAGACACCTACAGATACACAGACCTACAATATACAACATTACATGGTGACTACATTTGGAAGGAGATCAGACTTGGTACAGGGGCGAAAGGAGATTATAAAGTAAGAATTGACCTCCTTTGGGCATGACATTGAAAGCAATGAAGAACAGGAAATGTAAATGCCAAACTCTGAGGTGGATTTCTAGATACAAGGAACTGAAGCTCAGAGAGGCTGAGGTGACTGACCCAAATGTACACTCTGGGTGAACAACAGTTACCCATATTAATTGCAGTTGAACAAAAAGCTGATTAAATATCTGTGGTGTGCATGTTCTTTGAGTGATTGTCCCTTTTCCACCTGGGAAGGCTTCTTTACAAGGTCAATCTTGGGCCTGTGGAGAAAAAGGGAGTTATCAACAAGATGATTCTTTTATTTATTTATTTTTTTGGCAATGGGGTTAAGTGACTTGCCCAGGGTCACACAGCTAGTAAGTGTTATGTGTCTGAGGCCGGATTTGAACTCAGGTCCTCCTGACTCCAGGGCTAGCGCCACCTAGCTGCCTCAACAACATTACTCTTGAAATTCCTTTTAGCTCCAAATCTAATACACTTACAACAAAGAGAAATCAGAATCCCTGCCCTCAGTGCGCTTATAGTCTAGTTGTTGGGGTGTGGTTGTGGACTAGACCCATTTGCCAATAACTAAAGTGCAAAGCTGGATTCTGAAGGATAAGAATAACAATAACCGTCACTTACAAGGAACCCTAGATTACAATCTGGGTAGCTAGGTGGTGGCAGTGGATAGAGTGCCAGGCCTGGAGTCGGGAAGACTCATCTTCCTGAGCTTAAATCCGGCTTCAGACACTTCCTAACTGTGTGACCCTGGGCAAGTCACTTCACCCTGTTTGCCTCAGTTTCCTCATCTGTCAAATGAGTTGGAGAAGGAGATGGCAAACCACTCCAGCATCTCTGCCAAGAAAACCCCAAATGGGATCATGAAGAGCCAGACACAACTGAAAAACAATTGAACCACATGTGCCACGCATGTGCCCATGTACTAGACGGGAAGGGGCAGGAACCATCCATGCTAGAGAAACTTCAGGGTCAAGGCAAGGAATTGTGCGATATATTTATAGGATTTAGAATGGAAAGAGACCTTAAGGGATCCTATAATTCAACATGGTTTCCCCTCTCTATTTTATGTGAAGAAACTGAAGGTCAAAGAGGTTAAGTATGTAGCAATTCAAATTGGGGCCTCTGATTCCAAATCTTGTGTTCTTTCCCTTATACCGCATTGCCCCTGTTGGGGGGCTGGTAAATGGTTTATTTTGGTTGGAGTGGTTAGGTGGTAATTGTGGGTCGACTGTATGCATTTGAGTTTCAGGGATTTTTAGCACAAAATCCTTGCCAGCCCACATAGGTTCACAGAGCTGAGAAGCTATCTCAGATGCCATCTATGTCAACACCCTCATTTTACAGAGGAAGAAACTGAGGCCCAAGGATATTGAGTGATACGAGTTGTGCAATGGATTAGAGAGGGCTGGGCCTGGATTTAAATCCTGCCTCAGACACTTCCTAGCTGGGTGACCCTGTGCATGTCACTTCACCTCTGCCTCAGTATCCTCAATTGTTAGATGGGGATAGTTATGAGCATCAAGTGAGATATTTGTAATGTGCTTAGCACAGTGCTAATATATAATAGATACTTAATAAATGCTTCTTCCCTTCCCCCTTTCCTAAAGTCATACAGAGACATGAACTCAGCTCTTCTGACTCCAAATTCAGTGTGCCTTACATCATACCTCAGTTTCTGCCTCCCGACTTAAACTGCTTTCTGGATGTTCCTTTCCCCATCAGTCTGTATCCCACAAGGCTCTTCTTAGACATCAGGCCATAGGGGGCTGAAGCATGAATATTTGCATAAACTAGGTCATTTACATATAATTTGCATAAATGTTGAAATCCCAGGGCTTCATTATAATAATAGCTCCACTAATATTACTTTTTTTTTAAACTGAGGCAATTGGGGTTAAGTGACTTGCCCAGGGTCACACAGCTAGTAAGTGTCAAGTGTCTGAGGCCACATTTGAACTCAGGTCCTCCTGACTCCGAGGCTGGGGCTCTATCCACTGTGCCACTTTGCTGCCCCAGTATTATTCTTTAAGGATAATTTCAAAAGAACCCTGGGGAAGTAAATCAGATATAATCGTTTCCTTTCTACAGAGAAGCAAATCTAAGCTCAGAGAGGGGAAGGAATTTTGCCAGTCTCTCAGCTACTACCTGTCAGAACCAAGACTGCAATTCAGGTGTCCTGATTCCCTGACCACACTGCTACTTCTATCCTACCACACTGTGCAGGAACCTTGATGTGCTTGGCAAGTATGTGGAGAGAGACCCTGGGAGACTGGAGTGTGGAAGGAGGGATTCAGGATTGGGGAGGAGAGGAAAACTCTTGGGGTCATTCACTGGGGCTGAGTGGAAAGTCTCAGATCCAGGCTTCTCCCCCATGAACACTGCATAGTTGGGGCAGCTAGATGTTGCAGTGGATTGAGCTCCAGCCTTGGTCAGGAGGACCTGAGTTCAAATCGGGCCTCAGACACTTGATACTTACTAGCTGTGTGACCCTGGGCAAGTCACTTAACCCCAATTGCCTCACCAAAAAAAAAAAAAAAAAAAAGACTGCATGGTATAGTGCAGATACCCTGTCTGATCTCAGGACCCCTTTCACACTCAATTACTGAGGACCTGAAAGGGCTTTTGTTTATGTGGGTTATATCTATGGATAGTTTACCATGTTAAAATGAAAACAGATAAATTTCCAAAATATTAATTTATAATAAGGCTGTTAAGTTAAAATAAAGAACACATTTATATGAAAAATAATTATATTTTCCAAAACAAAACAACTTAATGAGATGACTGGCATTGTTTTATATATTTTTGCAAATCTCTTTAATGTCTGGCTTACTAGAAGACAGTTGGATTCTCATATTTGCTTCTACATTCAATCTGCTGCTGTGTGTTTTGGTTGAAGTAAATGAAGAAATTCAGTCTCACATAGTTATGTAGTTGGAAAACGGAGTATTTTAATAGGTAAATGACATCATAGAATTATGATGAAATTAGTTTTGACCTGGAAGACCTAGAATCACACTTTGAGTTTGCTGACATACAATGAAGAGTTGCTGGGCTTGGGTCAGAGACAGTCTAAAGCCATCCTCTGCCATTTACTAGCTAGGAAACCATGAGCAAGTCAAGTAATCTCTGTGAATCTCAATTTCCTCATCTGTAAAAAGGAGATGATAATAATAATACTTAAGCAACAGAACTTCTACCCTCACTGGGTTGTTTAGAGACATATATACGGTACTTTGCAAGTCTTAGAGTGTTATATTATCCTTTTTTCCTTTCTTCTCTGACTATCCTATCCTCTGTGATAGGATTTTGAGTTAGAAAGGACCACAGAAGTCATTTAGTCCAAATCCATCATTTCATAGGCAGGGAAACTGAGGCCTGGAGAGAGAAAGAACTTTCCCAAAGTCACACCAGTAGTACTTAAATTAACTGGCGGAGCTAGTGTACTTTCCAAACTTTCTCCTCTTTCCCCATTTTCCTCCTCCTCTTCCTCCTCCTCCTGTGCGCTCTGGCTGACAGAACCTGGGGAGCTATGGCCAGCTCCGGGCAGCAGGGGGTGACCTGCGCCTTTGCGCTGCACTGGGGGGACCTGCTGCGCCGCCCGCCCTGCTCTATAAGGGTTAACCTGCAGGAGGGAGGACGGAGAGAGTCCGAGAGAATGAGGGGAGGGGCGGCGTCTTCCGATTGGTGGAAAGTTTTGTAGCGGGGCGGGGCAGGGAGGGCGCCCGGGCCGGGTCGCGCTCGGCCAGAGCCACAAAGCCCCGCGGGGAAGGTTACTTCTCGCCGGCTGCGCGTTTCCAACTTTTCCCTACTTTCTCCCCACGTCTGCCCTGCGCTCCCCGGCCCGGCCTGGCCCCCCTCCCTAGGGCTCGGAGCCCTGAGCTCTCCTCTTCTCCCTTTTCGGCGCTGCCGGACCTCTCACTCCCCCCAACCCCGACTCCGCGCGGGCATCCCCGCCACATCCGTCCCGGGGCCAGCTGCGTGGGGGAGCCGGGCCCGGCGGCTGGGCAGGGCTGGGCTGGGCAGGGCAGGGCAGGGTGGCCGGTGCGTGCGTGTCCTGCGGCCCCGGGGAGCCTTCCCCGCCCATCCACGAGCTCTTCCACTTAGTCGGCGCCCTCCGGGCGGTGAGACCCCCGCGCAGTGCGGTGCCTGTACTCCGTGGAGAGCCTCGGGTCTGGCCTGGGGCGCCGCGGCCGCGACCGCCGCAGGTATCTCTGGGCGCGCCCTGGGGGCTCCTGCCCTCCGCCTGCCCAGCCCCGCCCCGTCCCGTCCCCACCCCCCGCCGGGGAGGAGCTGGGCTCCCGCCGCCTGCTGCCCCCGCCCCCTCGGACCCGGCCCCAGCCCTGGCCCGGGCCCCGCGGGAGGGAAAGGCAGGCAGGCCGGCGGGCAAGCCAGCGGACGGAGTACGCCAGGTAGTGCCCCAGCTGCGTCGCCTTCTCTTTTTTGCTCGCCCCGCCTGCCTTAGCCCAGCTCGGGAGGGCGGAAGAACTGAGGCTGCAATGAGGAGCTTGCTTTCCGCAGGGAGAGACTGAGGAGGCTGATTTACTGCGAGAAGGGTGGGAGGAAGTCCCAGGAATGAACTGGGACGGACACCCCGGCGGGAGTCTGTGAGCAGCGGAGCCGGCGTCCCAGCAGCTTGAAGTAAGTCCCCAACCCTCACCCCAACCCCCGTTCCCCGACTCTGGGGATTGCCCCGGTCCCGAGCAGAATGATCCCTCCTGTAGTCCGTGGGAGCTCTCTGTGCTCCCCTATACCAAGCAAGTCCCATTCCCCCGATCAGTGGGGCTTCTCGATTCTCCGCTGTCCCAGGCAGTCTCTGGACCAGGGGGAGGCTCTCGTTTATTCTCCAGCCCAGGCAGGTGCCCTCTTGTCAATGGGAAGGGGTTCTTGGTTCTCCCCTGGACCCCTAAGCAGAGGTTCTCCTTGATGAATGGGGGCTTCCGATGCTCGCAGAATTCCTCTGCTTAGTGAGGATTTTGATTCTTAGTGAGAAGTCTCCTTTGGTCAGTAGGGGTGAAGGGTTTCTTTTTTCCATACTCTGCGCAGACCCTTGTCTCAGTCAGTGGTCTCTGGGTTCTCCCCAGTTGCTTCCCTGCCTAGTCACTGGAGACCCTCGATTCTCCCCACATAGCTGAGCAGCTCAGGCCTTGGCTGATGGCAGGTGGTTCTGGGCAAGGAAACTGGGAAAGACCAGGGAGCCCAGTGGGGCAGCGATTCCCTGAGACAGGAGGGAAGAGGTCCTGGGCAAACAAACTCCTTACTTTGGGAAAAGGCAGGGTCTGCACCCCTTTCTTGCCCCTGAGCCACTTTTGACTCCCAGCTTCAGCCCCCAACCATAATAGGAAACTTGAAAATATCTACCTCGGTCCCCTTCTCCCTTAGATGTGATCAACTCAAATGTGCTATCTAGTTATGGGGGCTGAGAGCTAGTGATATATGTGGGTGATAGCACAATTCTTGTAAAAAAAAAAAAACAGCCGTGGTCAGTGGTCGTTTCTTGAGTTGAGGAGTATTTTTGGAAGGGTAGCAGTTCCCCTTGAGGGTATGGTCTGGGGGCTGTAACCTCTTTAGGGGCTCTTCCCAGGCTCTCTTGCTCTTCAGGAGCTGGTCCTGACTCTCCCAGTAACAACTTTTTTAAAAAGACCAGGGTGTCGTGTGCATGTGCGTGCGTGCTTGCGTGTGTGTGTGTGTGTGTGTGTGTGTGTGTGTGTGTGTGTGTGTTTGAGAGAGAGAGGGAGAGTTGGGGGCAGGGGAGGGAGTCTTTCCATTTTCCTCACAGATCCAGGGGTCACACTGAGCCAGCTTGACCTCCCCAGGCTCAGTGATCTTCCACGGTACTTTTCTTTACCCACCCTTTCAAACTACCCCTTTCTCCCTTGTCCAATGACTAGAAACCTTGTGCATCTCTTGTACCCCGTCCTTTTGCTCCCTCCCCCCCACGTGGGCTAGGTCTGCCCCTAGCCTGGGGGCAGAGCCTCCCAATATCCCCCCTCCCTCCACCCCCCATGTCTTTTTCTCCACGTTCAAGAGCTTCTGCTGCAAATTTGTAAGCTAATGGCCTGGTGCGATTCTTCTCCTAGTTGGACGGGCTGCCTTCGTGTTGTGTGTCCCCAGGGCACGGAGTGCTTACAACTGGGAGTTTACAAGGGCCAGGAATTCAGACAGTGTTTAGAGAGTGAGAGGTAGAGGAGCCGAGCGGAGTGTAATTAATGTAAACCCTTTGTCTGGCTTTGATACCTAGAAAGATTCCGCCCCCCCCCATCTCCCTTTTCCTATTCTTTCTGTTGTTTCTCTGAAAGAAACAGGAGCCCAACTTCCTTTCTGACAGGAGCCAGCAGCAAGTGCAACTTTAAATAATGGGAGGGGGGGTTAAGGGGAGGGGAGGGGAGGCGAGGCAGCAAGCGGCTGCTAAGAATAATTCAACCTTCAGATAATGCAGCCGGGAGCCAGCCTGCGCAGGGGGCTCCATAGTACTTCCCTGGGCAGAACATTTCGACCTAAGATGAATGGGAAGACTTAGTTCTTCAGTTTTGCTCCTGGGCTTTCTCACAAGACTTCCTTGATCTATTACTGCTTCTGGGGCTGGTTGAATTTTTTTTGTTTTTTTTTTTGTTTTTGGTTGGTTTTGGGGATTTTTCAACTTTTTTTTTTTTTTTTTTTTTTTAAAGCCCAGCCAGAGGAGAGACCTGAGCCGGCCTGCCTGCCCCCTTGTAAGTGGAGAAGCCTTCATTCTTAGGGACCTGGGATTGATAGTCAGTGAAAGCCCAGATTTAGGGCAGAACAAGCTCTGGAGGGGAGAGAGATTGGGAGACCATGAGATGTGGATGTTGGGGGGAGCCGTGGCTAGGGTCTTTGTTTTGCAGTGTTTGATTCACTCTGGGTCTGGAGGATTGAAGATGTTGAGTTCTCTCTTCTCCCTTCTCCTTCCCACCTTTTCTTTTCTCCAGGTTTTGAGGCCACAGAACATTTGTACATGAGGAGGACCTAAGCCCAGAGATGGAATTTTGGTTAGCGTTTGTCTTCTTGGGGATTTTCTCGATGTCTGATTCCGCCCGAGGTGAGTAGAATGAGCTCCCAGGAGGCAGGCAGTTTTGGGCTCTTCCCAGCTGCTTGCTGGTGGCTTACCTCGTTATTTCATTGTCTGTACATAAACTGGATTTTCTTTCCAAAAGTCTGAAATGTCTCTCTTTCTCTCTGTTTCTGTCTATCTCTCTGTCTCTGTTTCTCCTTGGATTGGTTCTGCATTCCCACTGCAGGCATATAGATTTGTGCACTGATGCATAAAAACAGGCCGTGTTCTTGCTTACACACATTTTCCCACCTGGCTCTGGGCTGTAGGGTGTGACATCATTAATTAAGACAAACTAGTTTTCTCTCTCTCTTTTTATTTTATTTTTTGGAATACATTTTCATTTTTTTTAAAGAGAAAACTATAGCTACAGGTGAGTTCTAGGGAATGACTTTGTTTAGTGAGGGATAGGGGAGAAGCCTTGGTTAAGCAGCTTCCAGATTTTGGGTGTCATGGTTGAAAGCAAACAATAGCATTCCTGGCGGCCTGGCAGGGCCTCCCTATCCCCCTCTTCCCCTCCCTGCCAGGCCTCCCCTTGTGTCTTCCCAGTAGCTGGCCAAACAAACACATCCATGGCCTGTCCCAGCTGACAGACCTGTGACAGTCCTCAACAGCTACTGCATATTTGAGCTCTGGTCACCCCAGGCCAGGCACTCAGATTTCAATAAGCAGGTGACCCTGCCAACCTACCCCCAAGACAAGAGTTAAAAAAAACCCAAAAAACAACAATGACAAAAATGATCCCCAGCCCTGAAGGGGGAGGTGGCCAATGGGAGCCCAGCCCCCTAAAGGAGAAAGAGCTAGAGGAAGCAGTGGCCTACGGTGGGGGTTGGGGGTGCTACCTTCACTTTGAAGAAGGGGAGAGCTCTCTATTGCAGTTAAGTGAATTAGGGTGGCAGCCCCACCTTCACCCCACTACCTCCCCCCAGGCAGGAGAATGAAGAAATAAGGGTGGCATGGATTAGCCATTCAGTACTTATTTCTCTCTTGGCCTTTTGCTTGAGTAGCTGATCATTTAGACCAGCTAGTATCATCCTAGAAACCCACGGGCTTGCAAAAACCCACTTCATTTCTGGCAACGAGAGGTCAAAGGCTCAACCTCCTTAGAGGCCAGGGTACCATGAAGGCCAGGCGTCTGGGAGATGAGTGAAGGGGAAAGCAGCATTGAGGCGTACAAGGAAGCAGTCTGAGAAGTCTGGATTCTAGTCTGGATGGGGCCTGCCTCCATTGTGGGGAATGGGGGAAGAAAGTGATCTCATGGATGTATATTATTCTTGCAGCTGGTCCCAAGGGCCTTTGGGGGAGGGGTGGACTGCATGGGGTAGAAGTTCAGCCCTCAAGTCACTGTGGGTTGGGGCCCACAGAACAGACTTATTTTTTATCTTCCTTGCCTGATATTGTCTCTCTGCTCTGGGCTGGATTCTCCAGTCTTTTTGGGTCTTGGGCTCATCTGGTTTAGGGAGGACACGGGTGTCTGAGTTACAGTGAGTGGCTGACAGAGGTGAAACTGGTAAAGAGGCAGAAATGGGAGAACTGAAGTGTTCCAAGTGATTCTGGAGCCCAAGGGAAGGAAAAGCTAACTATAGCGGAAGTTGGCCAGGGCTGCGTGAAGACCTCATGGATGAAAATTGCAGTTCTTTCTCCAAAAGATAAAAATATCGTGTATATTCAGAAAGAAAGCAAGGGAATGCACCCGCTGAGTCCTGGCTTCTAGGGCCACACAAACACAGATAGGAGGGTGGAGGTTAACATAACACGTTTTCTTCATTTTATCCCTAGGGGAGGAGGGGGAAGTAGCTCCTTGGCGCTGAGGATAGGTGTTGTTATTGGAAATGGAGACACAAGTCATGCTCATTCCACAGATCGAGCCCATTGGACAGCAGTGAAACTATTTCCTGCTCCTGTGTGCTGGTTTCACAGCCCGTCTTGGAGAATGTTTGAGAAAGTTGGAAAGGTGATGACGGTCATAGGGAAAGCAAGCTGTTCCCCTGCATGAATTGGGAGACCAGTGACTTGTCTCTATCTATGTAATTGTGGTCTGATCCAAGCACGCAATAATATGATTTGTCTGCTGCCATATCTGGAGGTGTGAAATAGTAGGTTTTGACCTTTTGGTATGGTTAGGGCCACATCTTATTTGGAGCTGTTATTGCGATGCCCAGTGTTATAGCAGAGTCCTGCTGCTGTTGGAGTGTGGGGGAGGCCATCATTGAGTGACCCTGGCTGGAGAAAGGCTCACATGGAGTATTTTTAGGGGTGGGAAGAAATCTCTCTTGAGAACTGGCCATGTGTGTCCCAATGGTATATGTCCCCTGGAAGCAAATGGGGTTTGCAATTTGCTGGGTCAGAGGACTGGATACCAGGTTTGGCTTGGAGGCTCCTGGGAGGCATAACTGGGGAGAAGAGCTGGACGCTGGCGGGCATCCCTGGTCTCTTTTCCTGGGGTCCGGGGGATGGATTAGTGTTAGGTCACCCCCTACCTCCTCTCGTACCCCACCGTTTCCTGGCTGGTGGTTCGGAGCCCCCTCCAATTGGAGCGGCGGTTTCCAAGCCCTTCCTGCGCCTTGAGTGACCGTATATGGCAATGTTTGGGTCGGGCTGCAGCAGGTCCAGTAGGATGGCCCAGGCTCGGCCCAATGCCACACATGTCCCTGCCCCCTCCTTCCTGCCCAGGGAGAGACTAGTCCTGTGGGTGGGGGCTGCCCACAAGTTTGGGATCTGCGCCACCTGGACAGGGCAAGGGGTTTGCTTTGGTGTCTTGGCTTAGGGGAATTGATATTCCTTTGGAAGGGAATGGGTTAATCCCCCTTCCCCACCCCCACCCCCCACCCTGAATTGGCACCGAGATTTGGACTTTGATTTCTCTTTCATCTTCTTTGATCTAACTTGTCCCTTGTGCCCTCTCTCATTACGGGCCAGTTGGGAAGCCCACCAAAGTGCTGTCCAAGAGAAGCCCCTCTATGGGGGGAGGGAAATGGGTGGGAGTTTCAGGGTTGGAATTCAAACCTCGCTGCTCAGGAGGGAGTTATTCAGTGTCACTGGGCCTGGCATGAGACACTCCTCTCTTTGAGCTGCTGGCACTGGCCAGGGTTTGGTGGGCAAATGGGGAGGCTGAGTGGCTGGTCTTCTTCTGAGGTTAATTTTATAGGATAGTAATAATCACTCCATTTCTGTAGTTCAGTAAGATTTTTCAAAGCACTTTTCTCATGATTGCCTTTACGGGGGATGGTATATTATTAATCCCATTGTACAGATGAGAAAACTGAAGCCCACATTGCTTAAGAGATCTGCCCCCAGGGTCATGCCCAGTGAGAAAGGAGCCAGCCTATGTTCAGATCTCCTCATTTCAGACAGGTGGCCCTTTTATGAGACTGACCATACTGGAGGAGAGAGTAAGATTCTGAGGTAGAGACTTAGGAAAGGGCAAATAACAACTCTGTGAATGCCCCTGAGACTGTTACCCTTAGCTGGCTTTTGACTTTGGTTTAAAGCCACTAGAATGCAGTCTTAACAACTTCCTTTTCTCCCACCCTTCTTCTAGGGACTCAGTTTCCTCTCAAACCTACCTCTCTATGGGCATACCTGGTCTCAGAATTCATTTGAAACCTCTTAATTCCAAGCTCTCCTGGGTTCAAGAGGCCCACATAGACAAGGGACCACCTGGAAAGGAACTGAAAGGTTTTGGGGGAAATTTTTCCCTTTTTTTGTGTTTCTCCCAGAAATAGGGGGAAAAGGAAAAAATGGTGGGAAGGAATCAGCTTTTCTTGAAATTTTTTTGGACTTTTTTATCCCCTTGGCCTTCATATTTCTTTCTCAAATGTGTTAAATTTGTGAGTGGGCCAAGCAGTGTGTGTCATACATGTTCTTAAACCAACAAAGTGTCATTAGACCTGGAGAGAGGCACTAAGAAAATAAGTATTGCATGTTTTCAGTTTTCCTAAAGATTTCTATTTGGAGAGAGAGAGAAGAGGAGAGAGAGAAAGAAAGAGAGAGAAGAGAAGAGGAGAGAGAGAAGGAGAGAGAAGAGAAGAGGAGAGCGAGGAGGAGAGGAGAGAGAAAGAAAAAAAAAGAGAGAGAGAAGCTGTTACTTTCAAATTTTCTTTATTTAAAAACAAAGCACTGCAACCAATAACCACCCTCCCTAAATTCTCCCCAAGTTTGTGAGTTTAAAAAAACCCAAACCAAACAACTTTAACTTTAAAATACGCCAATATTTACCTTCTTTTCATTTTTTGGAGCCATTCCAGTTTCCATTCTTGTAGAGAAGATTGGAGAGATTCAGTCCAAAAAGCTTGTGGAGATTGGTAAAGCAGAAGGCTTCTCTGTGCTGCATGCTGGGAAGTACTTCCAAGGTGTGAACTTTTCCTCTTGAATGGTTTCTGACCCTTTTGGGCTTCCTCTGTTTTCTGCGTTCAAGGACAAAAGGATGTTTTCTCTGAGTTGTACCTGGAGTCATAGGGTCATAGGATCATAGACCATAAAGAAGCCTAGATTGAGAGTTTACAGATAAGAAAATTGAAGCCCAGAATCACTCAGGAAGTGAGTATCAGAGGCAGGGTTCACACCTGGATTCCCTTACTACAGAGCTAGGTGCTCTCTCTTTTCATTGAGTCACACTGAACTCCTCATGGCCAGTGGCTTCTCAATTTTAGAAAAGGACTCAAGTCATCACTTTGACTGATTTTATAGAGCAGGGGTGGGGAACCTGCAGCCTTGAGGCCACATACGGCCTCTAGGATTTGTTCTGTGAAGTTCAGATTCAGTCAAAGGGCAGCACTTGAGGACCCGAGGGCCTGGAGGCTGCAGGTTCCCCTCCCCTGTTATAAGACGTCTTAGTCCATTAAAGTAGATTAAAATAGGCCTTTTTACCTGTTGTGGAAAGCAACATTTATCTCCCATATTTCATGGCATTGTTTTTATTGGCAGTTTCTTAAGGTTCTCTGGCCTCAGTTACATAGGTCTTCCCTCCCACTACCCAGAGCCCAAGC